AAACACCACTATGTATGGAACGCAAGTGGCCAAGTAGGACTTTAAATCCAGAAAAATTCACTCAATTTAACTGGCTGCGAATGTTTCCAGAATAGTGGAAAGTAGAAGTCTCAAGTTTCCCGTTGGGCAATATGTGCTAGGTCCGTTTGGCTGGAGAACGCATACAGTAGTACCGGAAAATGGACCAACGTATGTCGGAATGGAGACTTATCTTTTGCCTGATTTCCAAGGACTGCCCATTTCGTTGGCTTTGGGAGTATTAGGAATGCCCGGGTAAGCACAAATTTTTCAATAATGCGAAAAACCGTGGTTTTGCCGAAACCCGTTGATAGAAAACGCCACTATTTTAGTGAAACTTTAAAAGGTAAGCACTGTGTTTTGAAATCTACTGAAATTTTCTGTGATACCAGAAAAGATAAATATTACTCCTACCAATTAACACTAATTTTTTAAGCTGCTAAGTACATTTTTTGCAGAAATACTGCATTATTTGGACTTTTGGAACTGTGCCAACCCAAAGCAGGCGAAACTGTAGTGGTGTCAGGGGCAGCAGGAGCTGTTGGAAGCCATGCAGGCCAAATCGCCAAAATCAAAGGTTGCAAGCTTTAAAAACTGTCCATTTCTTCTTCCCAACAAAAACTTTTATTCAGGCTGCATAGTGATTGGCATAGCAGGTTCCGACGAAAAAGGAAAATGGCTCACCGAAGAGCTGGGATTCGACTATTTTATAAACTACAAAACCCAAAACGTTGAGGAGGAATTGAGGAAAGCGGCCCCTCAAGGAGTGGACTGCTACTATGATAATGTAACCAACCTAATCAACACTTGAATTGACCAAAGAATTATGAAAATTATTTTAAAGGTCGGAGGAGAAATTACAACTACTGTACTAAATCAGATGAATGCTTTTGGACGAGTCGCCCTCAGTGGATCGATTTCCTCTTACAATTCCATCGGCCCTTTTAAAGGTAGATGTTCAAACAAACTGAATGAAATTGCTTTAACTTGAAAATGTTTTCAGTGACCACACCCAATCTCACCATTGTCCTGCAGCAACTGAAACTCGAAGGATTTATCGTTACCAGATGGAACCACCGATGGATGGAAGGAATTCAACAAAATCTGCAGTGGATCCAACAAGGAAAGCTCAAATACCGAGAGACTGTGACCGAAGGTTTCGAGAATATCTTTAAGGCATTCACTGATATGTTAGAAGGTGTTAATGTGGGCAAAGCCATTGTGAAGGTTTGAGTTAATAAAAAGTAACAAAAACTCCTGTTGTATTTGCTGGTAGGTACTAGCTCTGAAGATGAAGTTCACTAGTGCTTGCGCAACGTCAGGGAGAACACCTCAGATTAAAATATTAATGTCTTTGGGGGAACTAAGGCCCGACGAGTTTTTTCAAGTAAATTTCAATACATACAATTTTTCGAAGATTTATTAAAAAGCCGATCAAAACATAACTAAAGGTCAATCGTTGAAAAGAAACTTGATGGTGGTTTATTGAAAACGAAACGGAGAGGCAAAAAATTGATAACGCTGCATTAAAGTAGCCATGATCAAGGGTAGTCGGTTTTTCTCCAGCTTTGATATTAACGACAGAAAAAAATTAATGAAATTAGAAAATTTCAGTTTTTTCCAAATAAGTCAGCAACGAAAATTTGTATCAAAGATCTGAAAGCGCAATTTTATTAGTCTTTTAATTGCCCAACTTTTCCCCATTTTACCAACCTCGTCTTATTTACGCTTCTTATCTTGCACTCGTTGACTCTGTGAACTTTGCGTATTTTCTTTTTTGCCTTTTTCAAATTAAAATCATATGAAACGTGGTGTACGTACTTTTACAACTTTATGGAAAATATTGTGTGTAATATCCGCGTCATAAATTAATGCACGGTTGAAATTTTCCCAATAAATCAATATAGACATGAATATTCATTCATTCACAAGTTGATTTTTGTTACTTTATGTTAGAACACAAACATAATTTAGAAGTAAAACCAAGTTCCTTAATTTTCACAAATATGTAACAATGTCGAATACGCGAATATTCGAATACTCGATTATTCGAATATTCGTTAGATATTCAAGTATTCCAATAATTTTACTATTCGAATAAACCACTAAACGAATATTCGAATATCAGATTTAAAAAAATTCCGAGCCTTAAAATAATCACTATTATTATACTAAATCACAGTTAAATATGAACTTTATTGCTCAATACTCATCAAATCGCTGTAAGCTATTGCAAATACAGCAACGTATGTTTCTTTTATCGCGAAATTCTTCATCAAATCGGTCAAGCGAATCCAATAGAGAGTTCTAAATGTTTGATTTGTCATCAAGTTGAGAGAATCTGCAGATCTGATCTGAAGATTATTCGTTTGCAGGAGAGTAAATATGATTATTTTCATTTGCTTGTAAATATATGGGTATTTGTTTAAATGCTTGTAGAATATGAATAATTTATTTTATAAAAGTATACAAAGTGCTTATAAAGATATTTGCAATTTGTGAGTTTGATCCTATGTATATTCCCAGCATATTCCCGCAATGTTCTGTATATTTTTTGAACATTCTGGGATATTCATAGAATATCAAATGCTATCTGGGATGTTCTTTAGTAATCAACAAATGATAGCACTCGGTCTGAGCGGAGTATTATTTACTCTACTTAGTGCAGGTAGGTCTAGCCGTTTTGGTGTTCGCCTCATAAATCGGAAAAGAGCCACAGAAGGTCTTTTTGCCACCTTAATAAACGATATGATAAATAGTGAGTGGGATGG